AAGATTTCCCCTTCTGTACTCCATTATGTCTAGATACTGGAAGAGTGGAATTAGAGTATAATATTACAAACTATTGAGCACACTGTGTAGAGTGACCATGTTTCCCTATGCTGAATATGGGTTGCTTGGCAAAATTACTCATATTCAAGTGAGTACAACAGCAGTCAATCCGAACTATGCAGTACAAACCTTCAAATTAACCTAAACTTAACTGAGCTCCCCTTAAAAAGAAATACTACACAGCTGGAGGCTTTTTATTTACCTTTAAAGCTTGAGAGTTCATTTGGGGAAGATGCCAAACACCCCTCCGCTCCCCTCCTACACACATGGGCAGAGGTGACAAACACACACTCATACCCCTCTCTCACATGGGAATGACCAACCTGCCCACTGGTCTCTGCCCTCCATGCCTGGCTGGGCCCTGGAATAAACTGTGTCAAAACAATGCCGAAGGAGGCACCTGTGGTCACACGCCTCCCCCAGATTTCTGCCAGGGTTCACACTGGAACATGTCCAGAAGCAGCCTTCTGACACTGTGTGAGAGATAAGGGATGGGAGCTGCTTCTAGCCATGGGGGTGGAGGTCGAGATAACCAAGCACATGTCTTTGCAGAGCTCATCCTTTCCCCCCACTCCTCCACCTAATCCCCCACCCCCATGGCAGGAAATAGCTTGTCCCTTCCCATTCCAGAGCAAGCACTCAGCGGCCAACCCCCCCATGCTGCAGCTTTACCCTGCCACGAGCTTTGCACACCCATCCCCATCATCAGCTATTGGACCACAACCTCACCACTGGTGGGGTGATGTCTGGTAAGCAGGTTTCCCACTAGTAGCGGGACTGGCTAATGTTGATGGGGGGAGGCAGAAAATATGGGACAATTTGCCCTTTTTAAGAAAAAGTTGGAACACTAGCAGGAGGGCTTAAATACAGGACTCTTCCTTGAAAAACATGATGCCTGGTCACCCTAGTTCTCAGGCACATACCACAATAATGCAAAGCATCAGAGTATCCATCATTGTTTTCAGCATCACTTTTTCAGCACTTTAATGATCACCTTTTCCATTGGTATGTGGTGCACGTGCAGAATGCACATATTTACACACATGTGTTTCCAAGGACAGTTGCAACATTCACATTCAGAGAGGGTCTAGACAGCACCCTTCTGTCGGAATAAGCTAGGCAATTTGTGCTAGCTTATTCTGATTCTAGGTTGTAAGAGTTTAATTTGGTGCTATGTAGACAACATCAGGTTTCAAACTAAGGCACTATTCCAACAAATCCCTTGGACCTTGTGGAATGAGGGTTACAGGGACGCCGGAATAGCACATCTGCTATTTCCTGATGCATTTAAAGATGCAGTGTTGCTATTTCGGAATACTTCCAGTATCCCGAAATAATGCCGCAGTCTAGATGTACCCTAAGAGTCCATTTAGAAGCACAACTGGGTAACAGCAGAAATGTAAGCATAAAAGTGTGAATCCATTTATACACCTCCTTTAAAATCTCTCTTAAATCTTTTGTCACTTTTTTGTCATGCACAATAGTACACGCAATAGTATGCTACTCAGGAGAGCTGGGCTACCTGAACTGAGAACAGAGCACAGAAGAATTTGCTTTGAAAAAAGTATTACAATTACATGGACTTTTTAAACTAATAGAAAAAACTGCTTGATATTAGTTTTTTGGTTTTATCACTTTGGACCCTGTCCTGTGCTTCTTAACACTAATTGAGTAAATTGGGATTAAGTGGCACTTTTTATGTGAAGAACTGTGAGATAATGTACTGTAAGAGTGTCCAGTGGTCTTCTTTTGGCATGTGTATGTTTCAGATATTTTGTTATGCAATTTATTTTGCATAACAATTCACATGAGCAGTCACAATGAAGTTAATGGGATTGTTGGGGATGAAAACGCTTTTCTTGTTGTGGGGTCAGATAGAGTTAAAATTCTACGTTTAGTAGTATAGATTAAATTGCAAAAAGTTTGAGAGAAAAAAATTGGTAGGGAGTGTTATCAGAATGAAGGCATAAATAAAAATTTTGTAAGAGGAATAGCTAAAATAATTTTGGATTCAGGCAATTTTTCAGAGATTAATAAAGAATACGTAGATCTGAAGCCTTTGGGTTGGATTGAAAGTACTCAACAGTGAAGGTCAATATGAAACAGGAGTTTGAGAAAAATAGTGCTAATGGAAGTTATGTTTATGCTATTCATTATCTTGTAGAAATATTGCATTATCATGTTTCTTCAGCCTTGGTAGCAAGGACTAATGAAAAATATCCAGTTCATTTAAAATAAAAGAAAGAGGGGCCTTTCAGAGATAAATTGTACTTGGGTGGGTGTCCTGGACTGCTTTCACATTGTGTTTTCACTTAATGATTTTTAAAGTCTTAAATAGTTTTTTTTTTTTAAATACCTTGCACTTCCTATCAATTCTAGGGGTTTTTTTTTTTTTTAATTATTTCCGTAACAAGATCATTATTTTCTTCAATCCACTCATTGGTTGATTTATTTTGGCATGAGATCTTTAGCTTTATCCTTAAAGACATGAATGACATATTGACATGAATGACTGTTCAATTAAGCATTCTCAGGCTATATACAGTTAGTGAGGTTTTTTCCAAACAATAGGCCATTTCAGAGCTTTTGGAAAGATCAAGGAGGTGATAATTTCATATAGGTTAAAGTTAATTTTTGTATAGCTTAAAACATAGCTTATGAAAGAGAATTCCTTGGTCCAGAGTCTTGCTCACATGAAGTCAGTGTGAATTTTGCCATTCACTTCAATAGATCCCCTTATATGGTTTCACATAAAGAGTTTAAATATAACGTAATTGTATTTTGTATATTATACAAAATAGGATTACCGACCTTTTCAATTCACAGGCATAAGAATAGTGAAGGATAAGACTTGGTATCATATTCTGTACCAGAAGGTTCTATTCATTAAGTGTTTTGTGGCCATTTCATGTGCAAAAGTATATAGTAGAATTGACTGCCTTTTTTAATCTATTGAGCAGAACTTTGGTGATACTGCTATTCCATAATAAATTTCTACTGAAAGTTAAGAGGTTTTGGAAAGTGAAACAAATTCTGATCACCTTAATCTCATAAAGAAGTCTCTTACACTTTGTACTCCATGTGTAAATAAAGAGAGTTAGATCTGATAGTTCTAAAAACCCTTTTTCCCACCTTCACCCCATCCGTTGCAGTAGTTTCATTCATGTTCTAAGATCCTATCATGTGATAGATGATGTTCCCTTATCAGATACGTAGTTCATTCATTAAAACACTATGCAATCCAGATGGATTGTCTTCATCTTTTGCCACAACTTAGTAGTAACAAAAGAAATAAATCCAAACTCCATTACAAAACAAAAGGTTTTGAATTTCTTCTCCACCAGAAACAACTAAGACAGAAAATATAACATTGCCTTTATGTAAATCCATGCTATGCCCACATCTTGAGTACTGCATGCAGAACTGCAGATGTGGTCATCCTTTCTCAAAAAAGATGCATTTGAAATCAGAAAAGGGCAACAAAAATTATTAGAGGCGTGAAACGGATTCCGTATAAGGAGATTAATAAGAATAGAACTTTTCAGTTTGGAAAAGAGACTAATGGAGGATATGGTAGAGGTCTATAAAATTATGGCTGGAGAAAGAACAGGTAATCCATCCTCTTTGTCTATTTCCAGGTTCTGGCAAACAGAAAGCTAGGAATACCATCCCTGCCCATCCTGGCTAATAGCCATTGATGGATTAATGCTCCATAAACTTATCTAGCTCTTTTTTAGAACCCTGTCATAGTCTTGGCCTTTACAACATTCCCTTGTCTTATGTTTTTAACTGTTTATACTACGAGATATTTTTGCCGTAGTTTTAAGCTTCTCTCAAAGTGTCCTTGAAGCTTCATTTCTAATTTTATCTATTCAGAATTCAGAATTTAAATTTTTGTCTTCACAAACCTCTATATTTGACCACTTGTAAGATTAAGGCATTGAAAAATGTGAATATGCAGAAGTTCATCTTGAAAAATTACCAAAAACAAATTATACAGAAAAAAAAGTAACTGTAAATATACCTATTTATCAGTAGACATGTCATAATAGTTAATTGAATGTCATAGATTTAAATATGATAGGGCTTATTTTTATCTCTCATGCTGATGTATATGAAGTATAACTCCACTGAAGCTAGTGGAATTATTTTGTATATACTATAATAGGTGTAAGTCCCAGCATGTTAACTAAATGCTGTCTCAGTTAGCAGTTTCTTGAAATAACATTTCATCAGCCATGTGAAAAATACTTAAATTACAATGGACTACTAATAACCTCCTGTCTAGAGACTCATACTTTCATTCCATAAAAGTGAGTACAAACAATCAATTTGTTTATTTCCTTGGATAAATTCTGGATTATAGTGTTACGTGTACGTATTCATTTGTATATTGTATTTGTAGTATGTAAAATGTATAAAGCTAAGTTGAAGCTAAAAGTTCATAGAAATGCTTTTCTGTGTGCTTTCAGATACTAACCCTAACCCCAGACTTCTGTTGTGGTTGAAACTTAATGCTACTATGCTATGGACTTAGCATTGGCATTAACCTAGCAACTTTGCTTCCGATCAGTTAATGGCCTTGTTATCACTCTGGGGTGTGTAACAAGAATGATATTCTGTCTCTAAGAAAAGGATGTGTGGACTACGCATCTCTCAGGACACATTCTTGTTGATGATATATGGAGCAGAATTGGCTCACCCTGTAACTGCTGGTGATGGTCTCACTATTAGAACAAAGCAGAAAGGGGCATCTAACAAAAAAGCTTCAAATTAAGTGAAAATAATTACTTACTGCTCAGTAGATTGATCAAAAGTTATATAACTGTAAAAGAATAGTCTGATAATTCCCTGC